TTTTTTTTTTTTTTTTTTTTTTTTTTGACAAAGACATTAGTTGCAAACTAATAATTTATTTCATAATTTTATCTATTATTTCAAAATTTAACTTGAAATTAGGAATTTAAAGTTTAAAATACATTTTAGAGGAGTATTTCCAGTTAGCTATGCAATGTATTTTTGATTGGAAGATAAACTTTAACAATAATCTCATTAAAAATAAGGTAGACAAGATAAATTATTTTTTAATATGAAAAGGTATCTTTCTTTTTTAAATAAATTTTAAAAAAGTACAATGCATATATTGGGATAAAAACAACATGTCTGATATTATTCGACAAATGGGATCCCTTCTTTGTAACGATAGAGAAGCTATTTGCGATAGCCTGACTCTTAACATTACAAGCCAAACATTGCTTAATATTACAAGCCAAACATTGCGTAATAGCTTGTTTCTCGAGTAAATACCGTATCATTATTTAGCTTTCCTTTTTCTATATGGAAACCAGGTGAGAAAACTTGAATACATTATGCCCGTAATAATTATTTTATGTAAAGCTTCTTCAAAACATATATCACGTAAAAGAATGTTGCATATTATCCTTGTTAGCAGACCAGTTTTGTCTATAATCTCTATTACCTTCTCCAATATAAACAAAAATCAATTACTTGAGCACTGGTACATGGAGGAACAGATTGTTACAAAAGTCACTCAGATTAAAACCATAACTAGCAAATTCATCAATGATCAAACACTTCCAAATGAGATTTTCAGATATTTACAGCACTCTAAGTTGATGGACAACATATTTGGAGGACCACCTACTAGTATGTTTACAAAGGGAAAAATTATTAATGCCAGAAAAACAAGACATTACAATCCTCTTCCAGTTAGGCAAAGGATATGACCAGGTTTCACAAATCAAAGTCATTGAACTTCTCATTTGGAATATAGAAATCAAACTTGACATCAACTGAACCAGAACTATCCCCAGTGTCTTTGTACTCTACATTAGTTATCGTTCCAGTTGGATCCTCTTCTTGGTATTCTGATTTTACCCGTCTGACTGGCACTGTGACAGAGTAAATCGTCCCTAGATCTGGATCCGTCGAGACACTCAACTGTACTTTATCCTGTGATTCTATTTCCACAAAATCAGAGAGAGCACTAACGACGTTGCTTACAATCTTCTGTTTTGCCTCATCGCTGACAGCACATCTATCAGAGAAGAGAATCATCTTCAGGCGCTGCTTAGCAATATTAGCAGCACTAGAATTACTTGCTGAAGGGGATGGTGGAAACATTATCTTCCAAGCCAAGTTTAGGCGCTCAAAAAAGCTCATGTTGATAGCATTGAGGAGTAAATTATCAAATTCTTGGCTGATGGAACTTGTCGATAATTTATATTCTCCAAGGATCCCAAAAGGCCTCCTTGCTTGGCACCGCAAACTATGGCCATCAGATGCTACACGAGACCATCTAGGCGACACCTCAGTAGCACTAGATCCACCATTAAGGAAGGGACTAAAATCTACCTGCAATGTGCAAGAAATTCTCTTTCATTGTGGTCATGATACAAACAGTGGGAGAACATGAACGCAAAAAGTTAGGTACATCTTATGAAATTGTTTTGAAGATGTTAGGATGCATACACTTTCCTACATATTGCATTTCACAGCTTGTACAACCATTATTTCTCAATGCATACAAATTTTATGGAAAAGATTGAAGTAACTAGAGTAATAAAACAAAGATAGAGATCCAGACATTAGAATCTATATCCGAGTAGCAGTACATAAAAAAAGAACAACCCGGTGCACTAAGCTCCCGCTGTGCGCGGGGTCTGAGGAAGGGCCAGACCACAAGGGTCTGTTGTATGCAACCTTACCCCGCATTTCTGCAAGAGGCTGTTTCCACGACTCGAAGCTGTAGCCTCTTGGTCACATGGCAGCAACTTTACAAGTTACGCCAACGCTCCCCTTCAGCAGTACATAGTATACCAATAAGCCTATT